CATGCGCCGGCGCGGCGTCTCGGGTTGCCTGTCCTTCTTCTTCGTCGTCGTCGGCGGCGGCGGGGGGGGCGCGGGCTTGGAGGAGCCGGACGGCCTGACGTCGGCGGGCGCGCGCCGCCCGCCAGCAGCTTCTTCTTGGTGGCGTGCAGCTGCGACGTGAGGTAGGCGATGGTGCCCGCCCGCTGCTCCAGCTCCCCCGAGAGCGCGGCCATCTTGTGGCTCTTGGTCTTCAGCTCCTCCAGGTACTTCTTCTCCCGCTCCTTGATGCTGTTCTCCAGCACGGCCACCAGGGCGCTCTTCTGCTCCAGCTCCCGCAGGAGCTCGGCGTTCTCCTCCCGCTTCGCCCTCAGCTCGGCCTCCAGCTCCCCGCAGCGCCGCGCCAGCGCCCGGCAGCGCTCCTCGCCGCTGCCTGTGGGCGAACGGAGGAGGAGGAGGAGGGGGGTGAGGGGGTGGAGTATTTATTTAGTATAGTAGTAGTCGTATGTAGTATTTCTTTGTCCTGGACTAAATCCTTTGGTGACAACCCGATACTATAACCGATGCTATAACCAATATTACACCGATACTACACCAATACGACACCGATACTACAACCAATACTACAACCGATGCTACAACCGATGCTACAACCCGATGCTACACCCGATACTACAACCGATGCTACAACCAATACGACACCGATCCTACACCGATACTACACCAATACAACCCCGATACTACACCAATACGACACCGATACTACACCGATACTACACCAATACATCACCAATACTACACCACCGCTGCTGCTGTTCCTACAGCCCTGATTGGCCCCCTGCTGCGTTGCTCCAATCAGAGTCTAGACGGTGTGTGTACACCACAGCGACCTTTGACCTTTGACCTACCTGAAGGGTCGCAGCTTCTCACCGTGAGCTCGTACGTCAGATCTGCGGGAGAGAAAAGAAGAAAGAAGAAGAAGAAGAAACGGACGAAAAGTGTCGTCATCTTTTACTCCACAGGTCAGAGCCAAAGGTCAGAGGTCGTCCTCACCCGTGCACTGCTGCTGCAGGCGTCGGACCTCGGCGTGAAGACCCTTCAGCGTCACGGCGTGGTTCTGCTGCAGGAAGAGGAGGTTCTTCTGGGCGCTCTGGAGCTGGTTCTCCAAGGTGACGTTAGCGGTCGCCATGACGACACTCAGACACCAGGGGGGGCTACAGACACCAGAGCTAACGTTAGCTACGACAGTCC